TTATTCCTGTGGTGATCGATGGTAAGTTAAAGCATGGTGCAGGTTTGCTTACGGGTACCCTCTTCTAAAAGTTTCGCTAGCAGAGGGATGGTAGTGAATGACAGGCGGGTAGTGCTAACCAGTTGTCCTTCATTGCAAACAAACCAACGTGAGAACTGCATGGAAGTCCAGCAGTGAACATGCATAGATTCTTCCAAAAGAATAATAAAATGCGTTTTCCTTTTTGGGTAGTGTAGGCAGAATATCTTATAATTCGAACGAAATATATAAAATTTTTGCGAAAATAGCTTTGAGAATAACAAACTTCTTGAAGAGCATTTTCTCCTTTTTGAAATCAAACTCTCCAAATTTCTTCTTTGTTAGCAATTTGCTATCTGTAACTTTGTTCAGACTAGTGCAAATTACTAACTATTAACCTAGATTTATGTGATAAACAGCTTCTCTTCAGGAACCGCTCATTGTGCTGACATGTATGCATCGTCGCTAAATGACCCACCAGCGATGACCTCTGCTCGACAGACAATTGCCAGCCAAATCAAGCAATGGCTTCAGCAAATCAATTGAATCTTAACAAAGTAATAGATTTAAAGAGAAATAAACTGTCAACTGAGCTTGTTCAAAATTGAAAGTTCAAAAATACTCATCAACAATAATGTCCACTGCTCATTATATGCAGGATATCCAAAAAAATATGGTTATTGTTTGATTGTTTACAACCTTTACTTCTGAAACTGAATAACTCACCTTAAAAGATCTTAAGCTCCCCTTATTTAACTTTTGAAGAAATCGTGGTCTTGATGATTACGGTAGATTATGATGTGAAGTTCAAAAGTCGTGTCAACGCGAAGGGGCGGCAATCGCAGCAACTTTGGCATAACTGCATAACTTACAGTATTAAAAGATCAAGTTAATAGGTCAGCGTACTACGGGAAGTATCCAACGTTTTTAGAACTATTCTTGGATAAATGCCAATGGCCACTTACAATTTTCTACCGTAATTCCACCATGTCATGCGAAGAACAAGATCCGCTCTTGGGAGGAAATGTAAAGTCAAGCTAGCCCTTCATAATGCACCATTAACGCTTCGAAAAGATAGAGACAAGAAAAAACAAACGTGAGCACATCTTTTTTGATACCCTGCATATGTTTTTAGTCGCAATCTATTGGGACATCTTATACCAGAGAGTTTGCTAGGAGTGCTGTTGGCCTCTGGCAATCTTCCATCTACCTACTCTTCTCCCTC